TGCTGTAGTATTATCAGTATGTAAAAGTAAAATTCTGAGACAATTCATACAAAAATTGTAGAATTGAAGTTAAAAATAATTCTTTTTAACTGTGTTCATGTACATGCACTGATATATGCTTTCTGATATGAGTTTGATTAAGAATTCTTATGATTTTTTTGTTGATCAATTCCAGACAAAGGCTTATACAAGTGATGTACAGAGCCTGCGCAGCCAAGTCCTGACCCTGATTACCCAGGTCAATGACTCCCAAAAAAGATTGGAGGATGCTAATGAGGCCCTGGAGAAGAAGAGTAGCAAGTAAGTAGACCTTTCATGACTTCTTAAACAAAAGAGTAGCAATTGAGAGACCTTGCATGACTTTAAAACAGAACTTCTTAAACAAAAGAGTAGCAACTACAATTGTAAGTAGACCTTAGATGACTTCTTAAATTGAAAAAAAAAAACAATTAAGTTAGACCTTAAATTCCTTTAATTTTTATTTAATATGTAACATTTTGAATCATCATTTTGTACATGTATTTTAGCAATAGAAATAAAAGAAAAATCTTTCAAAATTGTAAATGATAAAATAAAATTCCTGGCTGGCAGTGAATTCAGATATGACATTTACTGCTGTCTAGTACATTATTGTATAAACTATGTATACACAATCAATATTAAAACAAATTTGCATTGAAAATAAGGGAAGAAAAATCATTTTAAAACCTATGGACTTTGTCACACTTGAATAAAACAAACAGGAAGCAATCTGTAAAGTCCCATTGTTTTAAATGAAGCTTCCATCTTACAAGGAAGGGGAATAAGGAAGTTGTAAAATATTCCAGAAATAAACCCCAAGCATAAGAATTACTCAGTTACATAAGATATTTTTTTTTTAAAGAAGATTGCTACATACATAAAACACTGTAAAAATTTTAATGCAAAAATAGGCATGCATGTAGTTAATTTTTTTCTATATATAATTTTGAACTGTTAAATAATCTATTCAAACAAAATTTTCCCAAGTTATTTTAAGCATCACAATTTAACTTACTAAATACTTGAATGTTGTATTTTGTCTGCAAACTCTTTTAAGTCATTATAAATGGTAATACCATACAAAGATCTTGTATAACTATAAAGCATTACAAATGTACATCATATTTGATAATCAAAGTAAGTGATATTTTTTCAAGCTGTGAAAATTTACCGTTACTGTATTTTTAATTTCAAGTCTTTTTAGTAGCAGCAAAAATCTGTAGTAACCCCATTTTCTTTTTTGTAACAGATTACAGGAAGTGGAGCACGTACAGGAAGAGTTCCGTCGGCAGCACACTGAGGACGCCGCCCTGGTGGAGACACTGAGACTGTCACTGAAGAGTTACGAGGACGCACTGACGGCCGAGAGAAAGGAGCACCAAAATACCAAGTATGATATATATATTAAACACCAAGTACAATTTATATTAAATTTATAAAAGCGTAAATAAAAAATAAAAGAGAAAAGAGCACCAGAATACCAAGTACGATTTATATAAATACCATGTACGATTTATATAACACCGAAATACCAAGTATGATTTATATAGTACATGTATATATAAAACCATACCAAAAATAACTGTGTAAAAAAAAAAAAAACATTTGCAAGTAGGATATCTTAAAAAAAACAATTGCAATTGAAGTGTGATATATAAAAAGTAATTAAAAGACTTAATTTAATATCAGCTTTAAATAAAAAACAAAATTTGATATCAGTGTAAATAAGAAAAATTGATTGTGATTGGAAAAATATAAACAAGTGTGATGTGAAAGAAAAAGATGTTGCACTCTTAATTTTAAAAATATGAAGTGTGATATTGTAAAAAAAAAATCTCATTGGTCAGGACTAGTTGAGTTTATGAATAACTGCAATGTAACATGTACATGTACATATGTAATTTGAAGCTCTTTTTCATTGTTTGAACATAGATGTAGCTATGATGTTATTTTGGACATTTTAGGAAAACATCAGCTGATCTGAGACAGTCATTTAATCAGGTAGTGTCAGATCACAAGAATTTGTCAGAGAAATACGACAGAATCAAACTGCAGGAACAGACACGACCACAGGTACAGATAACTTTTAATTGACATAAAACTTATAATGATTATCTACATTTACCTAAATTGTGAGAGAAACTTATTTTCCTAAATGCATTGACTCCATAATATTAGATAAAATTATTACATACTACTCACATGAACCATATAAGGGGAATGTAAAGCAAGGTGCAATTTCAACAACTTATGCATAACAATTGGTACCTATTTTTATGGAGAAGTAATTTTAGCTATTTAATAATGCCATGAAAGATAGTTATCATCTCAGATCACACTGAATTGATAGCAGTATTAAATATTATCAATCTCCACACTCTTGATGACAATATCAACATTGAATCCTTGCTAAAAATTCTGCCTACAATCTATGTGTAGCCATTTTAATTTTTTTGCCAGGGTGGATGTACAGAGACAGAAAAGCAGAAGTTACTGGACCAGATCGGTCGTCTTACGGCCCAAGTGTACGCCGGGGAGGAGGCCATTAATTACAGGGAGGAGAAACTCAACAAAGTACAGGAGGAGAATAAAAAGATCACGGAGGAGCTCAATAATGTGGTCCCTGTACTCAAGGCTCAGGTAACTCAACAAGTGGTTCCTGTACTCAAAGCTCAGGTAACACAACAATGTAGTCCCTGTCCTCAAGGCTCAGGTGTGTAACTCAACAATGTGGTCCCTGTCCTCAAGGCTCAGGTAACTCAACAATGTGGTCCCTGTACTCAAGGCTCAGGTAACTCAACAATGTAGTCCCCGTCCTCAAGGCTCAGGTAAAACTCAACAATGTGGTCCCCGTACTCAAAGCTCAGGTGTGTAACTCAACAATGTAGTCCCTGTCCTCAAGGCTCAGGTAACTCAACAATGTGGTCCCCGTACTCAAAGCTCAGGTAACTCAACAATGTAGTCCCTGTCCTCAAGGCTCAGGTGTGTAATTTAACAATGTAGTCCCTGTCGTCAAGGCTCAGGTAACTCAACAATGTAGTCCCTGTCCTCAAGGCTCAGGTGTGTAACTCAACAATGTAGTCCCTGTACTCAAGGCTCAGGTAACTCAACAATGTGGTCCCTGTACTCAAGGCTCAGGTAACTCAACAATGTGGTTCCTGTCCTCAAGGCTCAGGTAACTCAACAATGTAATCCCTGTACTCAAGGCTCAGGTAACTCAACAATGTGGTCCCTGTACTCAGGGTTGAGGTAACTCAACAATGTGGTCCCTGTACTCAAGGCTCAGGTGCAGGTATAAACACAACAATGTGGTCCCAGTACTCATGGCTCAGGTAACTCAACAATGTGGTGCCTGTGTTCAAAGATCGTAACTACATGTAAGTCATTTGTCCCAGTACTTAAGCTCAGGTCCTGTACTTATTTTTAGGTGTGTTATTCTGTAAAATAGCCCCTGTAATCATAGCTGCAGAACTGTAGCTCTCCAAAAAGATATATATTGATAGACCGGCTCAGATGTATAACTCAACAATGTTTTCTATTACCCGCACCAGAGCTCAAAACTGATACCCAAGCATGATGTACTGAAACGGTTTACAATGTACATGTAGCTACATCTAAATGTAGCTTTCGTTAAAGGTTAAAGCTCAGTTAAGTATTAATATAGGTGTAAAACCTTCTTAATAAGAGACCTTCTAAATATTTGACTTAACCTGATGAATTTCTATTTTAGGCTGAGGTTTGGAAGTCAGATTTTGATGCTGAGAGAGACGCAAGGGAACGCCTTCATGCAGAAAAAACTCAACTGGAAAATGATTTCAAACAGCTCCAGCTACGCAACCAGCAGCTATTGGACGAAATGGAGAATTTTTCTAAACGACAGTTCCAGGAGATGCAGCAGCGGCACTCCAGCCAGAATTATCAGCACAACCTCCAACAACACCTGAGGGTGGGGCATCAGAACCACGGGAGTCCATACCAGATTCCCCAGTACCCTCCTCAGGGGTACCCCACCCAGGCCCCGGGGGCGGGGGCAATGTACAACGATGGCAGATCACCTCCCTCTGTTCCAAGTCAGGTAAAATATAAAGTGAAGAACTTGCTTGGAAATAAAATAAAATACCAAAAGATTCTAAGGAGCAGCTAATAGATACACTGTAATTTTTTTTTCTTTGTCGAAAAGGAAGAGGAATAACATCTTAATCGAAGAATGTTATTAATTGGAAAAAATTCACATTCAGAAAGCAATTTATTTTCTTAATTTCTTAATTTAAAGGTGCTCAAATACCAGGTAGTTTAATACATATTGTGTGTACATATACCTAATGAAACCTAGCTTTATTTTCTGATATCCTAATGATTTTTTTTTAACTATGAAGATTCCCATTTCCTTAGTTTGATCTATTTTTAGATTCATGGTGATTCCCAGGAAGGAGAGGAGCCCCATCAGTTTGAATGTCCAAAGTGTAACCAGACCTGTCCTGACATGGACACTCTACAGATACATGTACTGGACTGTATTGACCAGGACAACCCTTGACGTGTAAAAGATCAGAACATGTACTTTCATTTACTTGAGTGACTCACAGCAAAACTTATTTTGAATTGTATTGATCAGCACAGCCAATAATATTGCTAAGTTTTATTGTGAAATTTTTAATTAGATCAATCATGAGAAAACTCAAATTCAACATTTCTGTACAAGGAATGTTATTCTTTTAATATGTGATTTTTTTTAATTTCTTCATTGAAATCATCTTTAAAAAAAAATATGACATCATATCTGATACACACTGATAAAACTGATTCTTGAGAGAAAGAGAATGCGTTAACAAATCATAATCACTCTTAAAGTTTACATGAAAGTTTACTATGTAGAAATATTAACACTTACTTAAGCTTTCCAACTTTTAGATATGTGATAAATGAGAAACAAGAAGTAAGATACATTATATTATGATTTGTTAATGTGATTTTTTGCATATTATTTTTATCCATTTATGTTAATTTAAAAAATTTTTTGAATTATTTTCAAAAGTTTACTTTCAAACTGATTAATAGTAAAGTTTGAATATAAGTCATAGAAAATAATTATTCAATGCCAATGGTGATCTTACATAAAAATATATTTATCTTGTTAATTTTAATTGTTTTCCTTTATATTCAATTAAAGCTATATGTGGCAAATCTGTCCTAAAAAAATTAATTCGAGATTGTGTTTAGATATACATGATATATGTTACATGTATTGTATATTTACGTTCAACTGAAAATTTTTGCTGATACATGTATTGAATCAAAATACATGCATCCTCATGTTTTTTTTTTAAGTTAAATTAACTTTAAACCTTAAACTTAAAAAAAAATATGCCACATATGGCTTTAAATGATGAAATTAAGATTGTGCTACTTTATTTCCAAGAATGCAATATAAGAACTTCCAGATGTAACATGTGTAATGGGTATTGAAAAAAATACTGTATGACGACTATGTTATCTATGTTTGCAAATTTTCTGTCATTGATTTAGTCAGTGCACAATGCTATAAAAGAAAATTTTAAAGATGATACATGTACCTGAATATGTAAAGTTTTTTAAAGAATGGAATCATGATTTCTTTCTTAAACATGTCTGCTTGTACAGACTGTACATGTTAAATAGCTGTGATTGATGTATGTCTGGTATGAACCATGTTACTGTTACAGTATAACAAAACAGGCTGAATTACGGAATTACATGTTGCTCCTGAGTCTCCTCAGATGTGATTGGTCAGATGAACAGTCTACTCAGATGTGATTGGTCAGATGAACCTCAGCCAAGATTGAATTGGAGGAGCAGTTTCTGATATTTTTTTTGAAAATGAAAAATGGACATTACACACTACAAACATTTATAAAGAATGTATTTTCATAATTCATGTAATTTTTTTCTTACATATGCAAAAAAAAATGTTATTTAATTAATTTAAATTTTTTTTATTAGAATGGTAATTTTTCCATGTTGTGTCCAAAATTTATATGGAAACTGTGATATGTTTGATAATGATTACTGTATGTTTTGTATACGTGTGTATGTGTCTTCACTTGGAGAGAGAATAAAATTATTAATACTAACTATACTCTTGATGCATTTCTGAAAGACCTTACATTGATCAGTTCAAAATTTGATAAATTGACTTACTGATACATGTATATTTCACAATACTTTCACATTAATTTATAATTTTGGATTGTATTTTTTTCATTAAAACTTAAACATGTATATGCTATTAAAATAAAGTTTGAGAGAATGCAGGGGATCCATCCCTTCAAAAAATCCAATTTCAAATTTTTCTGACAAGGAAAAAATAACCTAACCTAGACACTTTTTTCAAATGTGAAAAGTCTATTTCGTTGTGGGGGAAGGGGGGATTGATTGATTGATTGTATACTGTTTAACGTCCCTCTCCAGAATATTTCACTGATTTGGAGACATCACCATTGCCGGTGAAGGGCTGCAAATTTAGGCCTATGCTCGGCACTTACGGCCTTTGAGCACGGAGGGATCTTTATCGTGCCACACCTGCTGTGACACGGGGCCTCGGTTTATACGGTCTCATCCGAAGGACCGCCCCATTTAGTCGCCTTTCATGACAAGCAAAGGGGTGCTGGGGTGGGAAGGGGGGATGTTAGCTGCTTACTAGTACTTAAGTCTACTAAAACTTCACATCTTTAACTTTTCATATGTACCCACTTAAACACTGGACCAGGTTTCCAGGTGAGGGGAGGGGATCAAAGGCCGTTTTAGTTGGATTAATTTATACATTTAAAAACTCTAAAAAATTTCAGGAATAGGGGAGGGGAGGACCTGATCCCGCCCTTTCTAGGTGTTTTGACCAGTACTATCATATTAACAATACTGTAAGGTATACCATATACTGCATTGCCGAAAGAGAAATATATTGGTTGGCTTCAGAATTGATTTCAAAGCTAAGTTTAATGATGGATGCTCTTATGATTGTCTCTTCATCTTTTGTACTGCTACAATTTATTAGAATTTCTCTGTTTCTAACTTTAATTACTAGTAAACACTTCACTCATTGACAGTTTATTAATATGGGAAAGGGAGACAAAATCTAGCTGTTAATCATTCACATTAGATAAAAATAGATTTGCATAATAATGAACTGCTCATGAATTTAAGCAAATCTTAGAACCCATAGTTAGTCTGAATCTCAACATAAACTCTGCTATTTTATAGTAGATAAAGTTATAAACATGTAGTAGAATTGACCATTTCAATTAATTTATTAGAAGAATCTAAATTTAGGTAATCTATTGTCCTCTTGGTTTTTCATCCTGAGATATTTGTCATAGGAGCCTGCATCAGAGAGTTTATGAGAATCGAATGGTGTGACGTCATTATAACATTTGTCAAACACTCTGTCTATCACTTGTCTCCCCTTCTCTTCTGTGATATTCCGTGTTGTCATGATGGACTGTAATGCATGCTTCCTCACACACTCCTGTCAAATGTATAAAATAATTCTAGAAATCTCAAAGGTTACATGTAGTTTTTATCATGAATAAACGTTTTTCATCAATTTCCTTAAAATTCTAAGTGAAACGTAGAATCCCCCATAATTGTCTTCCTATCCAGTGGTTGTGTTATATAATTTGAACAAACTGAACATACCCCCCCCCTTTTTTTAAAAAGAATTTTGAATCCTTGGAAGGGGAATGGTCAAACCAAAACATTTGAACAGGTCTTAACCCCATTATTCAAAGATATGGTTAAATTAATATTGGCTTGTTCATAAGGAAACCAAAAGTATCTGAAGAAGTCAAACAGGTGATAAGTTTATAATTAGCATTTTGACAACAAATTAAAAGGCATTTCAGCTATTAACTAGAAATAGTTCCCTTGCTTTTCAATACATTTACAACCACAATAAGACAAAAAACAGTATCAGTTCTGTTTGACAACACTTCTAATGGTACCTTGTGTTTGTTCCTGATGTCAAAACCTGTATTGTTCAGGAGGCTACTTATGATTCCACAGTCTGCAAAAGCTGCAGCACGAATCTGTACAGCAACAAAAAAGAATCAAAGAGTCACAGAACTGCATTTCATATTTCATATTCATTCTGAAATATATCTTTTTTATTTATCTATCAATGCTTTGGTATTATTTCGTCTATTCAAAATTAAAATTATATTTATGACTGTGTAGTTGACATATGGTTTAAATATATTTTGCTTGTATAATTTGACCAAGATCAATGAATATGACAGTAATACTAAGTCATTTAGAATGTGAGTAGGGACTTACCTCTGTACAGGCTAGGTGTTCAATGTTGGTGAAGTCAACTTTAGCTCGACAATCATCAAAGGCGTGTGTCATTTCATGGAACAACAGTTTACAAGTGGCAGAGGGAGGGATGTTAGTGTGACAAAGTACAATCTATTAATGACAAAAAATAAATAAATATTATCAAACATATACTACACTGTATTTACTTTTATATTATGCATGTTTTGGAGATAAAAAAACATAAGTTTTATTCATAAAAAAAACATTTTCATATGTTAAAAATGTGGACCAGAAATGATCAACAGGCAACTGCTGAAATTTTTTTTACGTCTACACATAATGATGTATATTGATGCAAAAGTTTATTTCTGTACTACAATATGATACACCCCCCCCCAAACACACACAAACTTTCATGAAAGTGAATGAACATTCAATCTCATTCATCTGAAAATCTGTCTGTATGTCACAAAAACTATAACCTTGTTCATAATATTTGAATGAAAAGAGAAACATGTACGGTAGGACTTTCAAATTTCTTCTTCAGTTTAAATTATTTGGATCACATCAACCTTTTTTCTTACTTGGTTTGTGTTTGGGTCATATCCACCGCTGACTTTTTTCTCACATTTCTCCACAGATATGTTTCTTCTCAAGTTAAAGGCACTGGAAAAAAAGAAATCAAGCTATTTCAATCTAAAATTAATGAGCAGGTGTATTTTTAACTCCATGTAATGTTATATGAATTGTTCCTTATCAAGGTCACCAATGTTACCATTTATGGAAAATCTGAATCATGTTAATTCTGAAAATCATGCAGCTGAATTTCAAACAGACAGTTTATTTCTTACTCATTTATCACTTACCATCCATGCTCCCTCAGAGCTTCTCTTAATATCCGCAGTTCTGGGCCTACAAAGAAACAAATAAGTGTGATTGCATAAACTTATACTGTACAATTATATACAATAAAGGATTTTAAGAAATTGACACAGTTCACAATATCATTAAGCATTTTACAAGACCATTAAAGGATCTCGTTGAATTTTAAAACTTTTTAAAAAAAAAATGTTCAAATGATACATTGATTGATTGTATGTTGTTTAATGTCCCTCTCAATAATTTTTCACTTTAACATAAGGAGACAACAACAGGTCCATTACAATCTCTTGAATTAGCTATATAGGCTAGCTTTAAATAGCTATATAGCTTTATTAAGCTATTCAGAATAGCTTAATATAGCTATTTTACTACACTTTTTTATTAAAGTTGTAATTTTTAAAGTATGTACAAAAAAGTGCACCTTGGTGCAGTGATGATAAACAACTTTGAACTTTCCTTAAAATAATGCATGTAAAAATCACTCATCAAATTACACTTTGTACTCAAAGTTCTACAAGTTTTGGGGCTGTTTAAAGCAATTTAGACAGTTACTTCTTCAATGATATTATAATGGAGACCAATTGTGGCCAACAGGAATTCAGGTAACAGTTCAACACAATGAGAAGCAATCTTACTTATCCATGCCCCAAGGCACCCAAAGTAGTGGACACCAGTTAATCTAACAATAGAAATTCTTTTTTTTTGCTTAAAAGTATTCAAAAGCTGCAATGTCATAAATATGTTTGATTTTGGTTGTTGTTTTGATAGCCCATTATAAGTGCGCCATAATACGTAAAACTTTTTTGTTAATTTCTAGCAAAAAACATTGTTGTAAAAATGTATATAAATAGCTAAATACAGCAATTTTGAATAGCTTAATAAAGCTATATAGCTATTTAAAGCTATATAGCTAAATCAAGAGATTATACTGGACCTGAGGCTGAACAACAAAAAAGTTTTAAAAAAATAAATATTTAAGCTTATTAAAATTTCAGAGCTTCAGTAGTTTGTCACACAGGTAAACTTGAGTACAATGATTTAAAGAAAGATACAATTTCATACATATGCTGAATCAGAATCATCTATGGCTCAATTACATCAGAGACGTTCTGACAACAATGTCACTGCAGTTCGAATTTACTCGTCATATGCATAGTAACAAAAATATGTGGGTTTTGCAGACATTTCTTTTAAAAGTTACACGAATTTTTTTATTGTTATTCATAATTTCATATATATGAATCTATCCTTTAAAATAACTGATATGTCAATCACATTTATTTAATTTCAGTAATTCTTCGAGGAAATTCGGGAACTTACAGTGTGTAAAACATTTCACTATCTTCTTTTCTATTACAGATACGGATCTTCTATTTAACATGGAATACTCTTTATAAAGTTCTGGATTTTTTCGCTCTGGGTACAGTGGATAACCGTAGTCTTCTTCAAATGATTCTCGTAGTTTTTCATTTTTCGTCGATTTTCCATCGGACTCGTCCTTCATGTTTTTAAAATAAGTTTCAATTGTCAGCTCGTTCTTGAAGATGTCGGATCTTTATATTTATTCTCTCTCGTCTTTTTCTTTGGTTTAATAGAAAAACAAATATTTTTAAATGGAATGTTGGATGCCTCAATGAACGATTCACTGTAGAGTTATTTTTATGCCGTTGTCACATTTATTGCATGTACGTATTTTTGTGTTTCCTCCTCGATCAAGCCAAAAAAAAAAAAACGGACATGTAATGTAGCCTAGTATAAAAAGAAATGCTCTTTAATAAATGTTCTTTTTAATTATCAGGGGCGTATAATTTCAAACATCTTTTGCATTATAAAATTAAAAACCAAAATGGGTTATTTACGACAATGTCTTCTTATCACATGTTTTATTTTGGGGGATCTGAGGGCGAATGAAGAGCGGGGGCGGGGGGGGGGGGGTATTGGGGAATTTCTGTTCGGTTCTATGGGTGCTCTTCAAATAAAATACGATCCGCACTTCTCTCCCAGGTCTCTTAGATTTAACTGCTTTTTGTAAATAATTTATCTTCCTTATCTTATGTGACATTCGCACTGGCTATTACAGACCTGCAGGCCTACACTTTTCGTTTCAAGTGTGTAATTTCAGAAAAAAATTGGCGGAATTTCAGAGGGAAAAGCGTTATCAATCATGGTTTCCTAATTTGTTGTTTTACTATTATACTTTTTTTCTTTCAAACCAACCGAAATGTACATTACAAAACAAACCTAACATAGACTTTTCTTTTTCGAATCATCTATTGGCAAAAAAGTGTTGTAAAATACCAGTATCCTAAATTTAACTCAGATCAACCGCACACCCTTAATAATTAACGCATTTGGTCAATCTGTATCAAATCAAATAATGGAAGGCTTGCGTTTGCATGTTTATACAAATTGTACATAATAACATTTTTTTTCTTTTTAACACTCATATTTCTTTATCTTATTCATAGCAATGTTAAAACAATGTGAAAATGAACAAAACTGAGCATAGAAATGAGTGTACTTATTGCAATATCATTTAATAGTTAACGTAAGCAGTACTTCTCGTTTTCTTCGTCGCCCGCGTGGCACAGTGGTTAGAGCGTCTGCTCTAAAGTCGCGAAGTAAAGAGTCAATCCCGAATCTTCGCCATACCGATTTACATATAACTATTAGGTATATAACGTTAGTTATCAAACTGATCCTCTTTTAATTACTTAAACTAAAACATTACATTTCATTTCAGCAGGTCGTACTTTGACTCTTAAATTTAGACGTTAATAATGAATTTAAACCAAAATATCAAAAGCGTAAAATTAATATCAGTGGCGTAATAGCGTAATTTCGTGGTAAAAAGCGGAAAAATTACGCCAAAAGCGGAAGGGTAGGCAGGTCTGCTATTACTGTTTGGAATTTAAAAAAATATATATTTTTATTAATTCGTAATACTTTATAAATTTGTCATGAAACTATTCATAAAAATAAACAGCAGTCAAAAAAAGGGGTCGAGTCGGGATCAACACTGAAATTCTACCCGCGACCGAGATTGCTTTCTATGGGTATGTCTTATCTTACAGTATATTTTACATCTTTAACCACGAAGCAAAATTTAAAATATTTATATTTTTATTGAACTTAAATTATCATTAAAGTAAAGTAGCGGTTAGCTGCAGAATTGTAGCTCTCCGAATTTTTTTTTTTGACTGACTGGTCTGCAGCTAAGTAGCGGTGTGCTTCCTTAAATTCTGATTTTTTTTTATTTCGAACACCAAATCCACAATAATCATTTCGCATAATGTGATATTAAATGCATAATTATCATAAAAGTCGCCCACAGTGCATCGCGGGGTTGCACATAAATGATTGCTATCCGCCAAAGTAGTTTGCAATGTTAATTGTTTTACATATAAACACAACAAAACAAGGCTAGGAAAACGCTCAAAACCTGGTGATACGGTAAAACACGGTCGCTGTTACTTGTCATAGAGTCATGCATCAAAATTGTCATTTTCTGGCCCCCGGGCGATTATTGCGGTCTTACTATGCAAAAGATAAGTAAAAGCTAGCACTGTTGTTTTTGAGGATCTGTGACAGGAGAAAGAATAGTGTGTGAATTCTATCGGGAAGTTATCTGTGAATTCTTTTTTTCTATATTTTCGTCTGGATTTTCTTTTAATTTTTGGATTAATCGATTGTAGATGTGATTTTCTTAATCTATTGACGTTATATAGTCCAATTCACAGAAGAACTTTAAAGAACTACCGAAATATTTGGTTTGTAAGTATACCTTATAAAATATAGTCACAAAATACATGTATGAACTAAGTACTATCTCTGTATAGACCAATTTCTTACTGTACTAGAGGATCAGCATCTTGAAAGTAAACTGTATATATCTTTATAAAATTTTATAGACATTGCCAAGATTCATAAACTTTGTAATCTAGCTTTTTCGAGGGAGAAAACGCTAGCTGGAAATTTTAAGAAGACATCTTCTGGTCATTTTTTAAAAAAAGGGTAAATAACTGATATTCCAACAGAACTCCTTGTCGAACGCCAAATGACGCAGAAAAATAGAGTAAAAAATATTGTTGTTTAGTCACTTAACATTCAGAAATAAACATGAATGTATTTATATTTTGGTTAATAAAAGCGATTTCAAATAAAATTATATTATTTATTATACCGAAAACACGAAATTTGGATGTCTCATTAAGTACCATTTAAATAAGTGAATTCAAATTTTATTGACGAAATGTGTATAATGACATTCGATAATTAAGAAAAGCTCTCACGACTTCCTCCTGTGACGTGACACAATAATGTAATCATTAGACTGTCTCTTCAGCGCCAGAGGTAACGCCAACTATCATAAATACACATTTTTCTCATTTCAAGATGGCCGAGAATATATGTTATTACCAGGTAATAATATTGTCTGTTATATTGCAAAGAAGGTGTTATTTTGTCTAAGGACTATATTGTAAGTTCTCATAAAACATAAGACGTAGGTGCGGATCCAAAGAAGGCATTGCCAAATATGTTCCACTTACGATTTTCCCACTGGCCCAGAAGTATTACATGTATTTTTTTCCTTTTGTTTTTTTTTTAAAGGATATAAGTAAAAAGGACAATGAAATGACTTGGGACCTATCTAATGTTCTCAGCCCTTCACTCTAAAAAAAGTTTTACTTGTTGTTTTTAAAATAAGATATTAGATTAAGAAAAACTAGTAATTATTAGTAATCCATTTAGTCAGAATAGCAAGTAAATGACTATCATGGTTAGTAATTGTAAACATAATTAGTAATAAGGATGAATTCATTTACTTATAAAATGATTTACTAAGTATCAATAGAATTACTTAAATTATAGGAATTGTAATACTTAAAGTTAGTAAATGAACTACTCATTTTTGTTAAATTATTATTACTTAATTTAGAGATAATATGCTTTCTATTTACTAAATTTTATGAATTATTACTAAGTAAATGTAATTCTGAAATTAATTAAAATCTAGAATATTATTACTCAAAAGAATACTAAGTAAATGAAATACTTATCATATTTACTAAAATCGACATTATTTACTAGAAACAATGCTAGGTACCGACCCGCTGACATGTGAATACTACTCACAGATTTCTTTATCAGAGTTCCCTAATTGGGCCCTCTGAATAGTTTAATAGAAGAAATCTACTCATGATGGAAACAATTATACTTTCTATTTCTTTTGCCAATTTCTTTGTAATTGTTTTATTATATATAACAATAAAACATTTGATTCCAACTTCGAAAGCCTTAAAAATTGAATAAGTTGTATCTTTTTAAGGACCATTTTAAAAATGGTTAAACATTTCAAGTACTTAATATCGCATTTTTATTAGTGTGACTTTTTTTTCACATGAAGGAATATTTAGAAGAAAGATAACTCCTCCTCACAGACAATTAGTGATTAGACTACCATATTTAAGTAATTACTGATCTGAATTCTCCTAGATTTAGTAAATAAATTTTTGTTTTAAGTAAATCAATTAAATACAATTCAAACAAGATGTGTTTGTGAAACACCTATGCCCCTGTATGGCAACATTTCAAAGGTTAAACTTTTCTTATATACAAATTTAAATTATTGGGATTTCTTGATATCTCCAAGGTCAAAAGGTCAAGGTTATTGGTATCTAATGAAAGGTCTTGCCAAAAAAAAAAAATACATATGTGAAATATGGAAACACTTGCCTTATCCCTTCAGAAGTTATGGTCAAGGTTACCAATTTTGAAATGTAGGTCAAACGCCAAGGTCAAGGACAAAGGGACAGATTTGGTGGTACCCAAAGAAAGGTCTTGTCACAAGGATGAACTATGTAAAGTATGAATGCACTAACCCTAATCCTTTTAAAGTTACAGTCAAGGTTTGCTTTTTAAAAGTGGGTCAAACTCCAAGGTCAAGGTCAAAGGGTCAAAGTTCTTGGTATCCTATGAATGGTCTTCTCAAAATGATTACATATATGTAAGTATGAAAGCACTATTCCTTACCGTTCAAACGTTATGGCCAAGGTTAAAGTTTTTTTCACAAGGATGGAAATCTCCAAGGTCAAGGTCAAAATTTCATAGTTGTTGGTATTCAATAAAAGTTCTTTCAACAAAAAATATATATGTGAAGTATACATGTCCTGGTATTTACTGTTCAAAAGATTTGGATAAAGAATAAGTTTGGATTTTTTGTGTATAAGTGAGTCAAACTTCAAGGTCAAGGTCAAATTTGGTGATACTCAAAGAAAGGTCTTGTCACAAGGAATACACGTGTGAAATATGAAAGTCATAGCTCCGCTAAATCAAAAGTTATGGGCAAGGTTAAAGTTTCTGTGGATAAACAGACAAACAGAGAGACAGCTAGACAGACAGCTAGACAGACAGACGGACACGACAAAAACTTTATACGCCCGAAACTTCGTTTACGGGGGCATTAAAATATTAATTATATAGTAAATAGTGGTAAAATGTAAG